ATTTGAATCCTCTCAAAAGGGCCACTCAAAAGGCACAGCGGGCCTTTATAAAGGCACGCGGTGTCGTTAAGGGTGTGCTGGAGGTCTTTTACAAAAGACTTAAGGCAAGATATCGCCGTGCGAGGAGACTGGCTAAGAAAGAAGCATGGAGGGCAGCCTGCTCGCGTTGCGAAATCAGCCCTTGGGGTGGAATCTACAGTTTCATCAAGGGAAATTTTAAGCGCAAACCCCTCTCAGCTCTCCCAGTTGGTAGCGGCTTCACTGAAGGTCCGCGGGACACATTAAATCACGTATTAGATTACTATTTCGGCCGCGTCCCGCCCGATACCATGTTAGAACACAAAGATTTAAGCAAAGTCATCGCATCGTCATCTGATGACGACCCTTTGTTTACAGATAACGAGTTGTTGTTGACAGCGGATAAGGTAAACTTATCTTCTTCTCCTGGTAGTGAGGGCATGCCACCTCTTCTTATCGTAAAACTTGTTAAACATTTTCGGACGTTTTTTCTAAGTATTTTCAACAAGTGTTTAACCACTGGCCACTTTCCATCTACATGGAAGCTGGGGGACGTCGTTCTCGTCCCCAAGCGAAGTGGGGAGGACTTTCTCGCATCACACCGTCCAATCACGATGCTGCCTGGTTTGGGCAAGATCCTTGAGCGTCTAATTCTTGCTAGGCTGTCGTGGATGGCCGATAGGATGTGTAAAGCGCCTCCAAACCAGTTCGGATTTAAGCCTTGTAGATCTACTACAGCCGCACTCTTAAATCTAAAATCTACTATTACCCGGACGATTAAAAATAGGAAATCTTGTCTTCTTCTTTCTTTTGATGTTAAAGGCGCTTTTGACAACGTGCTCCACTCCAGTATCTTGAGAGCGTTGCACAAAAGCGTCTGTCCCAGAAATATTTATCACCTGATAAACTCGTTTCTATGTAACCGTGTTGTGAGACTATCTATGAATGGTTGTACTGTGTCGAGACGAGTTTCCAAAGGATGTCCCCAGGGTTCAGTTCTCGGCCCATTCCTTTGGAATATTGTCTTTGATGAACTACTCACGCTGGACTACAGGAATAATGTTTTCCCGCAAGCCTACGCGGATGATCTGGTCGTGGTGGTCTCGGGATGCCGAACTAGTCAACTTCCCGCGGCCCAACACACCATAGATATGATCGCTAGGTGGTGCAGTTTGCATAAACTGGAACTCAGCGTGGGGAAGTGCCAGGCTATGGTTCTCCTCAGACCACACGGGAGACTGCCTGAACAGCGCCGGGATCTGGTTATCCACGGACGGCCAATCCAATGGTGCGACTCAATTAATCTGTGCTTTTAAATCCTTTCTTTTTATATGTATAGATGGCGCGTTATTGCTTGGTATTAATTTATGCCTTGTATTAATATTAACGTGAAAATATCAGGCTTCCAAAGATAGGATTCCAGGGATATCGTGGCCCAAAGCTTGAAAGATTTGTGAATTTAATTTTTTTAAATAAATCTATCCCTGGAAGCTTGGTATTTTCATCTTAGTACAGTAGAATGTTATAAGTCGGTTGATACATTCTGGATAGATGGCAGTGAACCATCAGCAACGGGACAAGCATCGGTTCTATCCTCCCAAGGATTGATTTTTCAGACTTAAGTCTGGTCATCTACGGAAAATGACTTTCCAGAATGGTTGTAAGGTTTTCCGACTATGTACTAAGTACAATTTTCAGCCTGCAACCTCAAAACATATTATTGACTGTATTGACTTATCCATTAATGAGTTCTACTCATCCCCAACAGACACCATTAACAAGCTCTACAAGCTTGATACTCTGATATGATTGATTGGAGATAGGAAAGAATAAGAAGAGAGAGTAACGTTCTTTAGCCCGATAAAGAGCTATAACCCTTCTATTATATTAAAAGGGAAAATTGTTATGAATTTTTAAAAATCAGAAGCTAATATTATAAAATAGAAAGAATGTGGTGGCAGATAAAAATGTGGGGTGAAGTGAACAATAGATAAAACAACAGATGGTTGTTGAGGTAAAGATAGGAAAGTAAGATAGCAAACTGAAAGTGTGTGAAGCAAGAGATAAAAAGAGACAAAAATGAAATATTCTATCAATCATAGCAATATATAGAATACTCTAGAACAACGGATACATATTTCTTACTTAAAATTGTGTAGTGGGCTCTACACATTTACATATATTTGACAGCATCAAACAACACTAACAAGATTTAGAACAGGCCATCTCAAGCCATTGAAGATAGAAAATAATAACAAAATCTACCCCACTTGCCTAAAATGTAACTTGACACCTGCAGCTCCAGAACACATTTTGGCTTGCATTAGATGCACTAAACAGGACCTTTGGGAGAGGCCGCTGCTTATCATAAAATAGCTCGAGGAGCATGAACTCATGGAATTCGTGTAATCTTTACATAAGGGGATAAGAAACAAAACATATATTTGAAGCTTTACATTGAAAGAGATATGATCGAAAAAATATATATACACTTTTTGAATATATAGGAGTATATTAAAAACAAATTTGGCATATTCTGATCACTTAAATGATCGTTTTTTAGATGGCAGAGCACCATCTAGTGGAACAGAAATCAACTAAATGCTGATTTAACCTGTTCCATGTTGTTGTTGTTGTTTCTTACCCCCTTGTGTGAAGATTACACGAATTCCATGAGTTCATGATCTTATGGAATGGGGTATAGGGGTGCAGCTTTCGTTGATCATGGCACCATCATCCAGGCACACTTTGAACCTGTTCCATGATATTTTCTTGATAAATCAAGAAAACCCAACAACCCATATCACATCTTGGTTTCTCAAGATGCCTCTAGGACCAAATAGTGACGTTTCAGTAACAACATTGTATCCATTATCTGATACAAAGGACCTC